GGGGGGGGGGGAGATCCGAAAAGACGTACAGCTTGCGATTCATCTTCCTCTTCCTCCGTTTCTTCCTGCTTCTTGGATTTTGACCGGTGAGAGCCAATGATCCTATCATCTTCTATACCTTCATCGTCACCACTGAGCATTGTCTGGTCTCTGGGAGACATTTCAGAACCACCAGCCACCCTCTTATTGATATCGACCGAAACATCTTGTGAACCGGGAGTATCATCCGTCAATTCTTTCTCCTTTCCTTTTCCCTGATGGAATGACAGTGATTGAAACCTTTTTCCTGATCGCGATAGGGATAAATCAGGATGAGCCGATGTGTCATGTTCCGTTTCTGACGGAGGGAGAAGTAACAAGGCTTTACGTTTTCTTGGTGGAGCACTGATTGGTGAGCGTCTTTTTCAGGTTGATGAAATGCCAATGATACCAAAGAAGGAGCGGGTTGAGGAGACAAGGGTAATTTGAAGATATGTGTGTGGTGTGTAAATCAGAATGGATGATAGGAGGGCATGTGGTGGAAAAGACAGTGTGTCCAAGAGTGGGTGGGTGGGAGTGGGAGTGAGAGGGAATGGGAGTGAGTGGGAGTGGGACGGAAGTGAGGGGAGTGAATCCAACACTAACCTTTCATCAAAAGGAAGATCCCTGATATTCTCCAAAGGTAAATCCTCTTCATCCGCATATCGTACACGTTTTTTCCCTGGTGTTCCCGGTGTCCCCGGTGTTCCCGGTGTACCGGGAGTACCAGGTGAAGGAGTAGCAGAACCACTCGGAGTGTTAGGTTTAGGTGTAGGAGGGGATGATATGATAATCTTCGGAAAATCTTTTGACGGTGATTGAAAACTCTGCATATCTCCTTTATCGTCTTCAGAGGTACCCGAGAGGTGTTGGTACTTGGGAGAGGTTCCAATGAGGGACGAAGTTTGATTGGGTATGATAGATGATGAATTATCCGGATCATCTCCAGATCTGACGTGAGCATATTGTTCTCCTCAACCATGCCTACTACGAGGTAAATCGGAGTGAAACTACCTTCCTTCATGTACACAAATCGTAAATGGAGAGAGTGACAGGAAGTGCAACATCTCTTAAATCACAGTACCCTAATGGAGTATGACGGATTATGAATGTCTATACTTGCTTGGCATTGAGAAGTGAAGAGAGAAGGTTGAGATTGATATAGAGTGGACATATCTGGAGAAAGGTAATGAATGATAAGAAACGGAGTGTTCTTCTTTGACCACCGAAACCCGATATAAATGAACACAACAAGGCTTCATAGGAAAAAGTATAGCATGTAAAAGTGAAATGAAGAAAAAAAGAAATAATCACTCACTCATCCTTCTCCCACTCAAACTCTGACTCATCATCCATAGCGAAATCTTCTAATTCTTTCAAAGCAGCTTCATCCCAACCATCACCCATTCCAACACCTTCTTTCTCCAAAACGTCCATTTCATCCGTTTCACCTTCTGGCCATAATTCCCCAGAGAATTCATTTTCTTCTTCTAGCAATGGTATTTCCTCATCTTGACCAGCTTTCAACTTTGACGAACCTTCTCTTGATAGTATACCTGAAGATGTCACTTCTCCTTCAGGGGAGATCCGAGAAGCTGAAAATGTCTCTTCTCCTTCAGTAGAAACTCGAGAAGCTGAAGATGTGTGTCCTCCTTCAGTAGAAACTCGACGGACTGAAGATTTACCCCAAGAAGAAGGTAAAGATTCAACAGAGAATTCATCTTCTGGTTGACGTTCCCATAATGATAATGATTGATAAAACCATTGTACCCAAACAATCTTACATCCTGGTAGTTTGGATGCTTGATAAACTTTTTCTGTCCCGGCGTTGGTGGTTATACAATGGGTCGTCTTTCGAGTTAAGGTGGGTTGACATCTTGCACCGAACATTTCTGCCCATTGCCAATGCGACGTTCTGATGTCAATTACTGTTTAAATACAATACCTCTTCAGAACCCCATGTCTGGCGCTTGTCTCAGTCTTCTTTGGCAGTGGTGGTTGGGGGGGGGGGGGGGGGGAGTTCCTATAAACATGTCAAACCTAACCATATACCACCGTCAGCTGCCATGCCAGGCTGGATGTGCTTCTCAGA